CCCCAAAACCCCAAAACCCCAAAACCCCAAAACCCCAAAACCCCAAAACCCCATGATAATTCTCAGATTGAAATATGAGTTCGAACGTTAAAATTTAGTGTTCAGAAATTCAAAACTAAATTTCAAAAAAATGGCTATATCATAGCCGCTGCGGTACAAACGTTGAGATAGCTCTGGCCAAATTTAAAATAATGGAAACATAATTCCCTGCTTCACAAGCACCAAGATAACCTTATTGAGTAATTTACTGTACTGTGCATCGGCTTATTTGCCCTTTCAGTCATTTTAGAATCAAGTAATAGAGTCATCACGAAGATTTGGCCTTTGAAATATATTGTGGTGAAATATCTAAAATATAAAACTAGTAGAGTAGGATTAACAGAAGGATTCAACAAGGAAATCTGACTTGGAAATTTTGAGAGGCCCAACACTCCTTGAGAGGAAGTTCTCTGAGAGACTGCCTCCTTCTGCATATGATTATTCACAAACGATGTAATAAACTCCTAAAATTTATGTAATTAACTTATTATAAAATTGAGAGTTACAGCAATAATCTAAGAAGTTCCCTATTAGGTTATTAATGCAGCAATCAGCATCAGCTCATTGTGTAACTGTGATTAGTTAAATATATGAGCTTGGCAAACTTGCTCCAAGTTGTCTCCTTCAGCCCTATATATGGGGTTACAATGGCTTATTTTTTAGCTTCAGAAATTAAGTTTTGAGAAGACGTTTTACAAAAACTATCGAAAACATTTTGGGAAGTAAAATCTTCTAAAATAATATTTTAGCAGTCCCAGGATTATTCAAATTTTATTTAGAGCAAATTATTGTAGTACAAATCTGCCATCTTTTATTAAAGTTAGAGTCCCAAATTCTAAAAAAAATTAATGCATTATTCCTGTGTTGTTATTAAAAAGTTTAATTTTAGGATATTATTAATGAATCAAAAATTTCGAATTATCTAGCATCGAAAAAGAAATCAATAACCTGTTAAATATCCAATATGGTTTATTTACTCCCCTATTTGAGACCTAAATTTCCCGCTTATTTTCTTGAGTACAAATCAGCGATGCTCGCAATAGAGATTTTATTCTTACAACATTGCGATAACTATAACAACTAAAAATATCCAATTCGTGCGATTCAAGAACCTCAACCGATTCATAACTAAATTTTTTATGACAATAAGCTAACTCTCTTCCTTAAATACTAAACATATCGAGTGTAGAGGGGAAGGTTCGGCACATAACATTTAGCTGCCCACTTGTAAAGAGCATCCTAATAGCAGGATCTTATAAAATATATTAACGATTTGTCAGCATTTTAAGCCAATGGTACAATTTATGCATCTTATATACTTAATCCAACTATGTTATGGCGATGTTTAACTTTAAAATTTTACGCGAGAATTGGCCTAACCTTAAGGCTGAATTGAAGATGTCAAGATTTACCCTCACTATTCTTATTTCTAAAATTTGCATGCTCGGAATTGGAATAAAACTTAAATCACCAATTTAATCAGGAAGGTGTAAAAATTAAGAATATTTCTAGGGTGTACGACATTTTTAGAGTGTTTAGATTTATCTGTGCTCAGATTAATCATATACCAACACCCTCAGGTCTTCGTGTTGGTAAGCAAGGTGTTCATACGTCGATCAGTGGCTATAATACCAAGAGGGAAGGGACAGTTCGAATATTTTCAGTCGAGCTGCCTATTAAGACTCTTTATGTCTCTTTTCGATGCCTATTCTTAAGAAAATTTTATGTCTATTTACTCATCTAGGTTATTTTTACTGAATCCAATATGATTCTTAGAAGAGAGGCTTTTAGCAATTATGAATGGATTTTAAAGTGAAGCGTTAGCGATGCTAGGGCTCTGGATTAATACTCCTAACTCTTCATTAAATTTTATTTTCATAGTGTTTAGTTAAGATTAGAAGGGAAATATGCCCTATATTAAGAGAACTCGAAGAAAATTTTCTTGAGTATTGCAGCCTTGTCTATTTGTTTAAGTTTATTTTTGGATATAAAAATCTTCTTTCTCATACAATGATAGTCTAAGATGAGATATTTGAAAAGATGCATACTAAACTGAGAAGAGACTATATCTGTGATAATAATCAAATTTTTAATATTTTATTAAGAGAGTGTGTTTCATGAAACCCTTTTTATTGTAGGACTCATAAAATAAAAAAAATTCATGCAAATTATTAGCAAACTTATATGTTTTGCAAGTCTTTATCAAATCAATTAGCAAGTTATTTGGCTTTAGTATGAGTAAGCTTGTGTTTCTTTAGGTTGCCTCTCTGTGTGAAGCTTCTACCGCACTCATCTCATTCAAAAGGCTTGATACCATAATGCATTCTGCAATGGTCTAACAAATTCCAGCTTCTCTTCAATCTCATGTTGCACTCCCCATTGAACTTGCATATAAACTCGAAGGTCTTTTTGTTAGTTACCTCTGTCCGCTTCTCACAAATCTCATAATGGAAGGACTGCAGTTCTCTAATGAACTTGATGTTGCTCTTCTTGAACATGTAATTAGCAACATCAGCGGCAGATTCGGATAGGTCACAAGTGCAGTAAATTCCTCTGCATTTCTTCTTCCTGAGGTTTCTGTTCATCATTGATGAATTTCTGATGGGCTGATTATGTAACTTGGCAGTCGCTGCACAAGATTTGAATCCAGACTGAGTAGGGGAACGCATCTGAGAGTGAAAGAGCAGTGGCAACGCCAAACCAGGAGGTGAACACTTTGAAATACACCTTGATTCTAATAGTGAAGAATCCTGGCATGAACTCAACTTTGAATTATTTAGCCCTCAAGGAATAAAAGAACTTGGAGAAATAAATTTAACACTAGACTGACTTCTGTGAAGCTCGGAGAAATTATTAAGAGTCTCTGCATTACTCCTCAAGTTAAATAACGATTGATGCTTCAATGGGTATGATGAAGAATCCGTAGATGCCTGAACTTCTTCTCATAAAGTGTTCAATGGCTGAATCAAGCGCCTTTCATGTGTAATAACACTTTTTAGAAGTCTAGCTGCTTCCTCTTGATGCTTGAATTGCTCACTTTTTGCTGAGCTTTTTTCTTGGTATTTAAATTGCATTTTTTTTGTAGCGTAATTATTAAAATTGATAAGTTTGTCAACCTTAAATTCTTTATTCGGGGTTTTGGGGTTTTGGGGTTTTGGGG